TAAATCAAGGTAGCCGTTAACACTGTTATATTATATATAATATATATATACTGTATATATATATATATAATATTACAACATGTTCGACAACTCTTATTATTATTTATCTATTTGTTTATATACGGTGCTACGCAGCAAACTTGATTTAAGTATTGTTTACTGATTTTCCAGCTGCAACCTACAAGCTTTTCTAGCTTAACTATAGATCCACTATTGTGTGAGCCTTTCAGTCATGATGTATGAGAGAAGTGGCTGGGGGTTAGATTGCATAGGTCTGCGTGGTGTAATGGGTATGATACTTGCCTTGATAGCGAGATGTTGCTGGGTTCGAATCCCGAGAGACACTTTTTCATGCGACTGAAATAAAGAACTTTTCGTTGATGAGCTATGAGAAATTTTCTAGGTTATGTTCATAAAGCGTATACGACACAAGCTAACCTAACCATGATCGATTGCTTCATGGGCTCCAATGCAAAGTCTGAATCGTTGTTTGGTTTAAACAGCGCCACCTTGAACGAAGGAAAACCAAAAGAAGTGGTGTTTTAAGTTTAACGGACGGCCCATTTGGCAAATTTAGCTTAACCAAAAATAATAGAACTATCAAATTTAAACAATGAGCATATAAATCCTAATGGTTAAGACGCTGGCAGTGAGCACTGAACATGTTAGGTTTCTAAAAAGGCCAACAAATATTGGTGGTACTATCAGGTTAGGTTAATGGTATAGCACTGGTATATGAAGCAATATCCATTACCGTGTTACAACACAACACCAACTCTGATATTACGACACAGACACGCGTGCCTATCATGTCATGAGCTGTTTGAAGGAGTGGGATTTTGATAAGTTTGATAGATGTTGCTGAATAGAAAATGGTAAACAGTGCCAGTATATTCAAACATCTGCAATATTAAAAAGTGCCACTCAGATGTTGGCATATCTGTCAATATCTAGAACCGTACGATCTAGCAACAACACATCACTGAGAGAAAATCATTTACTATTTTCCAAGTTGTCTATGGAATATTTTTTTTTCAACCACATAATACAGTGGCGGATTTAGAGGGGGCGTAAGGGGCGTACGCCACCCTTATTTTTGTTTGTAAAAAGTAATTTTTGAAAAGCTTATCACAAAATTTATATGCTAAATATTAAAAATCAAATACAAACTTAAATTGGATTGAATTGGATTTATTCGGTGTAAACACCAAGGATAGCCCACGAAAAGTCTAGAAGAAGACTATTTCCAGTGGGGTCCTTCTGGTAATGATTGGGCAGTACACCGGGAGACAATCCCCTACTCTTTTCCGAAGAGTGTAATGCGTTCCTTAACGTGCACATGGGCCATAATGCACACGGGACTAACGGCTTAAACGTCTCATCCGAAAGACGGCCCGCTATTGTAACTTGTATTTCAGCCCTCTAGCTGAAACACAAGGAGAGGCAGCGATGGGAATTGAACCCCTACCAGAGCTCTTTCGGAGACTTTTACTCAGTTTGCACATTCACGCCCCCTTTTTTTTTACCGGGCTGGATCCGCCCCTGTAATATGTACGGTAAGCCTACATGACAAGACGGAAGGCTCGACGTCCCATTACGTAAAACAGTGTAAGGCATGGCCTATAATACCATTATAACATTAAAATACATTATAAGTCAGTGATGACGTCACCACTTTCATTTGCACTGAAATTTTCTATTCCCGACTGATCACTTATCGATATAGTGCCTGTGCATCGCGAGGGAATATTTCGTTGCTAGGTCAAGCTATGAACGCACACAGCAAACCTAACAAATCTCCCTTTTCAGCGCTGGTTAACACAAATGAAGCCTAGATCGTTCTAGGCAAGACCTAGAAAGGCATAAATGTTATGAGATAACAAGATGATTGACTTATAAAAGAACTGAAAAAAATAAGGCAATACTGAAATAATTTATAATAAGGTTTACAATACATTTTCATCTATTAACTTTCATTATAATGTTTTCATACAATTTTTAATTTAATTGACATAAGAATCAGTTACAGTACAATTAGAAACCAATATAATATAGCTATAATTTGCAATGCAAATCCAATTCATTTATGATATGAAATCAGAAGAAATGTAATTAAAACAACAAAATGTTCAAAATATTATATCGTGATGCAAAATTAATGACCAATTATTTTTTTAAATATTGAGCTTTCTATTGGATGGATATAACATGAATATAAAACGAATTAGAATTAAGGTTGCATGTCATGTTATATAAATATTGATTGCTCATGAGGGGAATGGTGAAATCTATTGCTCCGAGGTGATGTGGAGACCGTAGCCTATCTTCCCTCCGGCCCTCGGGAAGATAGGCTACGGTCTCCACATCACTTCGGGGCAATAGATTTCACTGTTCCTTGAATCTAAAGCAGTCAATATTTGTTTTATATGCCTACCTCATCTATTACTTCCTAGCCTAGCCTGAGGACTACACACTAGCCTAGTAGGGATCAAAGAGTGTGTCTAGTTCTATTTTGCTTATTTCCTCAATTTCAACAGCACCCATCTTGCAATATTTGTCGAATATTGCCAAGACATATTTAATTTTTCTTTTGGTTCTTTTCCTATCGACTTCATCAAGAAGTAATATTAGGCCTAGGCTAGTCCTCCTTCATCCAGGAGCTCGAACAATTTTTTTTTCAGACTTTATTTGGAATCGCTTTAAAATCAGCGACACACATGAATTTAATTGTGCATCCTTATACAAAAAAAAAACATATATAGAACCGAATGAATCGATCAATACAAATCCTAAACTAAAACATGTAAAATGTAAAAGTACAGTAGTACATTAGTCAGAACAATTTCGTTAGGAGACAATAATATTTTGGGATGGGGCATTCATTGAATTGTATAATGCAGATCTTTTCTTCCAAGCCAAAGTGGGATATTCTTTACAATATTGGTCAAAAATGTATTCTGCTTCTTGTTATTGGTGATTGTAAATTTCATTAGATAGGTTATGGGTAACGTGAACAGTTCATCAAGGAGCAAATGAAGTTGAAGCTCATTTGATCTATTTTCCCAAAATAATTGTAATCTGTTATTACAAAGACCATCTTTTAGTTTCTTAAATGCATTATCTCTAATATCTTGTGGGCTACTAAAAGAAAAAATTAAGTGATTGATTTTTTTTTCTCTAAGGTTGCAGTGTCATAATTTACATATCCCGAGTTTTCGTTGGACCAAGATTCCCGGGTCCTGTAAATCTAAAGAGTTTGTTTTAACTTTGAATTTAATTCACCCATGGTAATTATTCTTGTCTAATAAATATTGTTCGAGTTTAGGTTCGCATTTATATCTTATGTAAATTTTAAGAGATGATTTTGCTTGTGTTACGGGGTTCCAAACGGCACACTACCTGTTCTGTCATACAAAACCATAAGGGACAAACCATGTTTTGTAATATACGTAAGTTATTCTGTCTTTACAAAACATATTTTGTAAAAGACAAAACCACGTTTGTCTGTACAAACAACGTTTTGTAATAGACAAAACCATGTTTGTCTGTAAAAAAACATATTTTATAAAAGATAAAACCATGTTGGTTTGTACAAATGGAAGTTTGTTTTAGAAACTTATTTTTTTGGGGCCAGAGGTAACTGTTTTGTTCTATTCAGTCGAGCTCAGTGCAGACGCGCGTGGTGCGCTTTATGCAGGCGTTCATTTTGATCGAATTGGTAATTAGCGGCGTTTGTTTTTGGTTAAACCAAAGATACTAGAAACACAAGATAGAGTTCTTCACAGAAACAAAAAAACTGTTCCACCGAAATGCATGGTGGCCCGGTGGCGATTTTTTTTTCCGTACGATAAGAGACAGATTTACATGAAACTCCACTCGGGCCGTCTCGGCTGAATCGACCCGAAAATCTCATTGCAGAATTCAGGAGGTCAAAAGGTCATCAACAGATAAACGTCTACAGAACAACTTCTGAGAGAACGTCGCTGTCAAGGTAATTATATGCTGAAATGATTATTATTATTATTATTATAATAATTATTATTATTATTAATTATTATTATTATTACCTGTACTTTAGGGGGAACTTATACAATGGAGGAATTAGAGAACAATTAAAAAAACAACGTTAAGGGGAAATAACACAAAAGATATTCCCCTTGGGCGATTATTATTTATAGGCTTAGTAAATAGTACGGTATCTGCAGGTTCTTCATTACAAGGCTTAGGCCAAGGTAATTAATGCTGAAATTATTATTATTATTATTATTATTATTA